CCGTTTCATCCGTTTTTCCTTCATCCGTTTTTCCTTCATCCGTTTTTGCATTATCTGGTTTTACATCATCCATTATTACATCATTTAATTTTTTGTTCTAAAAGTTTTTTTGTTGATTTTTCCGGTGATCTATTTATAACTCATTCGAGTCAGATGATGATAAAATACCTTTATTATTTTAATTTATTTACTTCCTTTCATTCATTCATTCATTAAATTTCATTTATTTCATTTATTTCATTTATTCACATACATTTCTCTATAAAAATAAATAATCTCTTTTTTTTTCTCTTAAAAAAAAAAAAAGGAAAAATGTGGGCTTCATTTTTTTCCAATACATTACGTTGCATAAACTGTGACTCCGTCATATCACCTAATAAACCATTTCACATGTGTCATGTATGTGATAAAGTTAATGCTTGTGAAAATTGTATTGACATCGTTGAACCACATCATAAACATGACCTTTACGAAGTAATTTTGAAAAAATCCACTTTTAAAGATCCGATATGTAATGGAAAAGAATGTGATGGTAAAAAACAAATTAGGAAAAATGCTTTTCAATGTGTTGGTAATCCAAATAAAAATTATTGTGAAATATGTATTAAAAAGAAGCAATTGGAGAATAGATTTGAAAAAGAGAAGAAGAAAGACGAAGAAAAGGAAGAAGAAAAAGGAAAAGGAAAAAGAAAAGTAGATGAAAGAAAACCGAAGGAAAGAAAAGTTGATGAAGGAAAAACGGATGATGTAAAAATGGATTATGTAAAACCGGATGATGTAAAAACGGATGATGTAAAAATGGATGAAGGAAAAATGGATGAAAGAACAACGGATGATGTAAATATGGAAGATGTTAAACCAGATGATGCAAAAACGGTTGAAGGAAAAACGGATGATGTAAAAATGGATGATGTAAAACCAGATAATGCAAAAACGGATGAAGGAAAAACGGATGAAGGAAAAACGGATGAAACGGATGAAGGAAAAACGGATGATGTAAATATGGATGAAGGAAAAACGGATGATGTAAAAACGGATGATGTAAAAATGGATGAAGGAAAAATGGATGAAGGAAAAATGGATGAAAGAAAAATAAATGATGTAAATATGGATGATGTAAAACCAGATGATGCAAAAACGGATGAAGTAAAAACGGATGAAGTAAAAACGGACGATTTAAAAACGGATGAAGGAAAAATGGATGATGTAAAACCAGATGATGCAAAAACGGATGAAGGAAAAAGGGATGATGTAAAAATGAATTATAAAACGGATGATGTAAAAATGGATGATGTAAAACCAGATGATGCAAAAACGGATAATGTAAAAACGGATGAAGGAAAAACGGATGAAGTGAAACCGGATGAAGTAAAACCAGATGAAGTAAAAACGGATGAAATAAAAACGGATTATGTAAAAACCGATGTAAAAATGGATGAAGGAAAAGAAAAAGAAGACAAAGAGGAAGAAAAGAAAGAAGAAGAAAAAAAAGAAGAATAAGAAGAAAGGAAAGAAAACTTAAATGATTAAAGGTAAGAATTAAATATGAATATATGAATATACCAACACATATATTAATGTAATATAAATTTTAAATTTTATATAGATTTTTAACTTTAACTAATTCTTACAATTCCTGAAATTCTTGCAATTCTTGTCAATTTTTTTTTCTCTCATTAAAGCAACATTTTTATAATATTTTTATTTTATTTTTTAAAGCTTTAGTAATGATTTTTATTTATTTTCAGGAAAAATCATCATTTATGAGAACTGAATTAATAAAAGAAAATTTCGAAATTCATTAAATTTCATTTTGACTTTAAATAATAATAATAATTTTGATAATTTTATAGTGATATGCATAATGATTTAATCATAATATACAAGTTAATATTATATATTAACTTGCTTTAAAATTGGGGGGTTTGGGTTAAAACGAAGTAGAATTCATGGTATGAGAAACTGTTTTGTGAAGTGAGTATTGGTCAAGATCGTTAAAGATCTCACATCTTATTTACTTTATTATAAATTGTAATAATCGAGCGAAATATTATTTTTCTACTCAATATATTCTTTACAATATAATCTTACTAACAAAAGAATCAAAAGAATCATCAACTTCCACTCTGTCCTTTAACAAGCCCACAATTACTCAATTACTTTCATAACTTTTTTCATTTTTTCACGAAGCTCGTTGTCATCTTTCAAAACATATTCATCGATTCCAATTCGAAAATCATATGTGCGATATATCACCTTTGGTATATGAAACCATTTCTCGGCTATAATCAATGTTAATCAATGTTAGTAATAAATATTTACACGAATTATAAATCCTTGACAAAACCTACCTATAGTTACAATACCACTATAATCTTTAAAACTTTCATCCATCTATTTTTCGATTTTTAATTGATTTCTTGATAATTTTGCGTTGCAATATCTAAAGACTCCTGTAATACTAGATCGATAATATTTAGAGTGTACAACTTCTTTACAACCTATTAAAGAGCCATATTTTTTTACCCTACTTTTTGACCCTTGCCTTTGTTATGTTTCAGCAAATAAATTGCAAACCTTATCTACTCATTCATCATCATCTTTTACTCGATCGATCATCCCCGAATTCCTCAGGTAAAGATTGGGTTAAAACGCATTAAATATAAAACAGAAATAAATTTATTAATTAGAAAATAATAATGATAGGATCCAATTTACAGACATTGCCTTAACGATAAGGATAAGGACCCGCTTTGAAGAAATCTTCGATAGGGAAAGAGACACAAGAAAACTTACCTTCGATGAACTGTGTAACAAAGATCTTGGTGGTAAAATTAAATCAGCAACAATTAAAAATTTTTATAATAATAATAATAGCACTCGTCGTAGTAGTTCCACACTTAACAACATAGAAAAGTGATTAGATGAAGTTATTTTTAATTCGTGTTTCGTAGTGGTGGTGTTAATAATTGAATGTAAACCGATCAAACTAGTAGAATCAATGGAATGGAGAAGAGATTTTTGCATAACCAAGTATATTTATATATTAATAGGACTAGAAAACTTACGTCAAACATCCAGGAATCCGAATCAGAATTTTTGTGATAACAATGTAATTGTGGAGACAGTTATGAAAGTTCACTCAGATCCAAAACTGCCATAATTAATTACTTCTTCAATTTTTAACTAAAAGATGCAATAGAAATAGAAATTAATAAATTACCTAACTATAAATTTTCACAAATACTGTCCTTTACAGTAAATATAACAAACTTTACCTACAACAATGGTCAAAAAGAGTTCGTTTGATAATCAAGTCCCTTTAGCCATGCACCTACAAAACATACTTCTTAGGCTTCATCAACCTATGAAATATGATTCTTCGGATTATCACCTACGAAACATGCATTGCACATTGTTTTTTTTTTTGGTTTCTTTGCAAGGGCCCGTGCACCTTGAAACATAAAAGTTTCTTGGATTATCACCACCTAACAAAAACACAATAACTGTTTTTCGGTTTCTCGGGTTCCACCTACGAAACATAAGATCGAGAATCTACGAAAATACTTGTACATTATCAAAGTATTATCTTTCTGCCAATTGTTAGAAAAGAGTAACGCGTCACGCGTCAAGAGTTTACTTTTTCGTTACACACTGATCTAGCCAATCAGCATCACTTCAAATATTACAACAAACTTAAATTTTGTCAAATAATCAAAGATTAATCAAGAACCAGTTAGTTTAAAAACTCAATAAGTTAAAGATAATTCTTATTTAAATACAGTGTGTTACGGACATTTGATAGCCGGACAATAGTCTCTTTTATACGCGATTACTAATCATTTATTCTTTATAAGGCTAATAATATATGATGTTATCATAAGACTGGGTTTGTTATTAATAGAGAAATTTATTTCATTAACGAGAAGTTTATTTGATGTCACTGATTCGGATTTACTATTATTAAAAAAAGTCTCGATAAAACCATCCTGTTTTATTATAAGTGTCAAATTTGAAAGTTTAATTAATGATGGGAAAGTTTGATTAATGATTTATATTTTATAATAAATAAAAATTTTGCGAAATTCTGTCATTTTAACTTTTTTTCCCCATCCACTCTTTTTTATTTGGTGCGTTTTCATTAATAAAAAAATATTATTATATTTGGAGTTTTTTTTTCCGTCTACTCTTTTTGGTGAGTTTTTCGTGGTTATGTTTTGGAATATTGTAAAATGAGAATAAAATATAGAATTTATTGATACGATATTGTAGTGTAATTATCTTATGCTGTTTTAAATTTTTGCTGTAATATTTTTTTTTAATTTTCACCATTTAGTCAGTTCATAATGAATAAACTTTCAAAGTGGCTCAAGGAGAACCTCAAAGTCAACATTAAGGACACCTTAAAAGCAAAAAATCGAAAGTTTTACTTTCAGTTGGATCCACCCATAGATAGAGAGGCTGTCATAAGTAAACAAGAAAAGTCGTTGCAATCACCGATGCAAACTCTATTGAAAAATGACAAAAGTTACAAGAAGAATACACACAGTTAAACATATGGCTTAATGCCTTTTGATAAAGAGAAAGAAAACAAAAGAATGTTAAATGTCATTGGTGAAAGTGACTACGCTGTTTTTAAAAAAGCAAAGATTTCTTTCAATGTCTCTTATGGTACGGGCACCACCTCTGTAACTGTTCGGAAAGGGAGTGCGACAGTTGATAGTTTAAAGAAACGCGAATTTGAACAAGAAATAGAAAAGGTGCAAGAAACGAAAAGCCAAATTCATCGATCATCATCTCCGCCAATCCCACAAAAATTCTCATTCACAGCATCGGAGCAAGGTTCATACGTTGAACCAATACTTCATCATTCTGAAAGAGTGCTCTTCAAATTTATTACAAGACATGAAAAATACATCCCTTTAATAACCGTAAAAGATTTGTTATGAAATGTAACCCTCCGCTACAGATCGATTTTTCTGATGTCGATTTATCGTGCCTTTTAAATTTCCATAATACCTATTTTGTAGTCAATATAAATTAAATCCGTCTGATTTATTAACGTCCTTTAAAGTTGAAGCGAGGAATTTGCTCGTTTAAATTCAAAATGTCTATTTACCACTTACATTAAATGCAATTATGAATATTAATTGTAATGAGTCCTTTACATAAACTTTTGTTTATGTGCATCTACGCTCATTGAACAGCTTCTTTGACTTTGTATATTGATTCTTTAGGACATTCAAAAAGACTCCACTATTATTTATCGTAAATTAATATTATTGAAGTTAAACTTACTGACACCCTCAGAGATATTAAGAATAAAATTCCCAATAAATGTTAACGGTCGGTTGACGAAAAAAAAACAGTTGAAACCAAGATGATTCAAACATAATTTCTACCTCAAAAATGTTATTATTTTAAAAGTTGGATCATTGAAGAAATTAAACTTATGGATTGTAAAACCCTAAATGATTATAATATTCATGAAGAAATGTACATTTCACTTGATCATTACGTTTAAATTTAGATTTCTAAATAGACAATAAATTTTAGTTACAAACATCATAAGGTATCAGATAGACAGTATATTTTATTTGCTATCATGATTATATCTCTAATTTAGTCCTTACGATAACGATGAGCACAATTTTCAAAAAAAAAACGGATGTCCACGTATTTCATCAAGTTTATGTTTATGTTCGTAAAATTTAAAATTTGTCATCTGAATGACATTGACATTCAAAATCGAAAATACAATAATTTATTATTTAATTACTTTAAGATTTTATTTATTTAATTTTATTTAAAAAAATGTAAATAACAATAAAAAATTTATTCATCATTTAAAGCCTGTGCATCTAGTTAACAATTTTATATTTGAAATCATTTAAGTTACTAAACGGTTTTTAATTTCTTTCAAGACTTCTCTCTTAGATAAATCCTCAACCCATCTCTTAACATTCGGTCTACTTTCCCATAAATCACCATATCCTTTGGAAATTATATAAACTGTAGCAGGATAATGTAAAATATCCGCAAGTGTAACGTCATTTCCTGTTAAATATTTTTGGCCTTCCAATATTTTTTCGTAAGAATTCAACGTTTTGGCAAGTTTTTCGCGTTCGTTCTTTATGACCTCGGGATCCGGTCCCGTTCCATCAATTTTTTTCCTGTAAATTTCTTGAAATATGATGGTAGAAATTGGAGTATCGTAATAAAATCCTTCTATCGAAATGTGTTGATCAATGGTGGCAACTTTTTGAATATCGTCGGGAATCAAAATATTGTCGTTATACTTTCCTTGATACTTGGTAACTAAATATCGAGAAATCGCACGGGATTCATAGATGATGTATCCATCGTCAATGAGAATTGGGACCTTTCCACTGTATTAATTAATTAGTTTAATAAATCGATATCTAAATTAATTTGAAAGAAATCATAACATTTTTATTAATTACGAAGGAAATATACTTACAATGGATTTTTATCAACAAAAAATTTGTTAGACTTGAAATCTTCACGATCTTTTATGGGAGAGAATTCAAAAGGAACACCCAATTCATTTAATGTCGTAATGACCCTAAGGGTTGGAACTGCTGCATGAAATCCTATAAGTTTAATAGTCATCTTTAATTGTGTAGTCGTCTGTATTGTACCTTTTTTATTTTTTTTTTTTTTAAAAAAAAAGCTGATTTTCGTTCGTTTAACTTGGGGAATATTTGGAATATTTATACTTTTTTTTTTTTCTTGGTGGAAAATTTAGTGCCGAAGAACCGTGAGGCTAATTCATAACAAGAACATTTTCTGCTTCTAATAATAGCTGTGCATTACGTGCTATTCTTTCAAAATGCTGATTAATAAGAATTCTTTATCACAAAACCAATAAGACCAATGCTACTATATTAGTCATTTACAAAAAAAAATAATATCATTTATTATTGTTCGATTAGTGGTTCAATCCGGGTAAATTTCATAGGGGGTAATTTTGCCCTAGGGGGTACTTTGGTCGGCAAATTACGGTAGTTGGTATTGAATCAAAAAGTTCTTTGAGTTTCATTAACTAATTCTGGTTTATATAATGGAAGAACTTGAACTATAGGGTGATATTCAGGAATACGCAACTTTATATTCATTATTTCTTCTTGATTATTAAAATCAGCTAGATATTCGTATTCAAAGTTTATATATTAAAAATGTTTATAATTTTAAAATTTTATTTGTTTACATATTATATTTTATGTTATAATCCACGGACAAAATATAGATAAAAATGGATAACTACGGACATCCAATTATGGATATCCATATCCGTGATAAGGTTCACGGATATCCGTTCACGGATAAACGGATATCCGGGTATATTTTACAGGTTAGCGTTTCGGTGAGGC